CGACTGTGATTGGCTGAAGATCAGCAAAACTGGTGAGCTAAAAAAACGATGAACTCAGTGTTTGTTTATTTGATGACATCATCTAATCATCATGTCATGTGAAGGCCGCGTCCCACCCAGTGAGCTCGCGTATCGGACACAGATCCTCGGTCAGTTCTTGGCTTGGCTGCTGGACGGCTATGTTGTTGGCCTCGTCCGGGCTTGCTTTTATGCCACGGAGGGCATGAGGCAGAAGTGCTGCATCAGGTTCTACAGACGGGAAGTGTGGGCCAAACTTCAGGACTTGGCTTTCAAGTAAATATGATCAGACGTCCAACTGAGATTTACAGAACAGACAAGAAGGCGAAGTTTAAAGAAATGCTGTTTTCTGCCACAGAGATTACCTGGCTCAAAGCCAGATGAAGGAGTTGTGTCCAGCTGAGGTGGCATCCTTCCCTAAAGACACAGTCATCTCCCGACTTCGCTTCATTCCCAAGACCGATGGCATGAGGCCCATCACGCGATTCATAGGCAGAGATACCAAAACTAAGGTAACCCATGACGCCACCGTTAAGTTTCTCCTTCTTAGATCTATTGTTAGCCCAAACATCTAGACTAACCCTGGGATAAGATTTTGTTCTGCAGATATTTCTAGCTAGATCAGGGGCGATGCCCTGCCTCAAGTGGAGGAGTTTAAGTATCTCGGGGTCGAGTGAGGGAAAGGTGGAGCAGAAGATCAACAGGCAGATTGGTGCTGCGTCTGCAGTGATGCGGGCGTTGGACCGGTCTGTCGTGGTGAAGAGAGAGCTGAGCCAGAAGGCGAACCCTTTGATTCACCAGTCGATCTACGTTCCTACGCTCGCCTATGGTCACTGACTTTGGGTAGTGATCAAAAGAACGAGACCGCAGATACAAGTGGCTGAATTAGTTTCTCCTGCAGGGTGCCCTTAGAGATGGGGTGAGAAGCTCGTCATCCGGGAGGGGCTCAGAGTAGACCCGCCGCTTCTCCACATCGACAGGAGCCAGTTGAGGTGGCTCGAGCATCTGGTCAGGATGCCTCCTGGACACCTCCTTTGTGGTGGCGCATCCAACACGGAGGAGACCTAAAGGGAGACCCAGGACACGCTGGAGGAACTATGTCTCTCAGCTGGCCAGAGAACACCTTGGGATTCCCCCGTAGGAGCTGACCCAAGTGGATGGGGAGAGGGAAGTCTGGGCCTCAGGCTGCTGCCCCCGTGACTCGACCCTGGATGAGCGGATAAAAATGGATGGATGGAATGTTCAGGAATGAATGCTTATATTCCGTTTTTGTGCTTGGCCAATCACAGCACTCTGTCTTTAGAGAGACGTTGCGCGGGCCTAGCACCAGAGCTGCGACTACAAAGATGGCGTTGGCTCAGGGACGGTGCTCATTTGAAACGGCTTTAGCATCAACTTTGGACGATTCATGGGCTCGACACACGGGAGGCGACAAACGACCGCGATCAGCGAAATTTGTCGCTGTCGCTTTTATTACCTGTCACACGGGAGGCGATCCGCGGCAGCGGCAAAGCCGTCTACGCGTTCTGTTCCATGGCGAAATCGAAACTTCCGTTGTTTTGCTTGGCTGTGTCAGGTTGGAGGGATTTAAGGTTATTTAAGCGGTTCAGATTTAATAAAGTGGTAGATATGATGTTTCACAAGGTGCTGCTAGAGTTATGTGAAATCTTACTTCTGATTTTACTATAAAACATAATAATAATCAACTTCTCCTCCATGTTTGCTCGGAGATGTACGGAGCATCCTGTCCGCTCATTGGTCAGTGAATGAAACCTCCGTTGATTGGTCCTCGCCCGAGCGACAGCGATGAAAAGTTCAAAATGTTTCAACTTTCTGGGATCGCGTCGCTGGGTCGTCCGTGCACGACACGTGCACGAGTGCAAATTTTCACACGCACGTTTTTCGCGTTTCGCTTAGTAGGAGAGATACCCGCGATTATCGCTTTGTCGCACATGTCCCATTGAAAATGAATGGAGCAGAGGCGATGTCGCCTCCCGTGTGTCGAGCCCATTAGACTTGGGCTTTTCTTTGAGGCATGAGCAGATAGACGTACTGAAGTCCTTCATTTAGAAAAAGGATGTATTTGCTTCTTCCTCTTCAACGGTTTATGAAGCACTGCCTCATTGACCCATTTCTGTTGCAACGAATCACGTTTGTTGCTCTGATTGGTCCTGATGCTGTCCAAATGCGTGAAGATGGTGTGAACCACAAATATGGATTCCTCCCCATGGCGGATGGCTTACCAGGCTGTAAAACGGTTTATCTTACAGCTCTATCAGGCAAAAGCACGCAACTTTCTGGACGCGCTGCAGGCCTGCGTGCAATCCAATCCATCCCTCCTCGGCTCCACCGTGTGGGGGTTGAAGGACATCCACAAAGTGTTGAGCTCCCTGGCTCCGGCTCAGAAAGACAAACCACAACACCTCTACTTCGTTAAAGTGAGCGGATCCAGTTGTTTCATGGTTTATTAATAAATGCTTGTTTATTTTTTAACCTAACCACTGGCTTTGATCATTTTGTTTGTTTTTTTAGGTGGATGTGAGCAGTGCCTATGAGAGCCTTCCACATGATAAACTCATGGAGGTGATCGGCCAGGTCCTGTCACCTGTCCAGGAGGAACTCTTCACCGTCCGCTGCTATTCAAAGATCTGGATGGATCCCCATGAAGGGCTGAAAAAGGCCTTTGTTAGACAGGTGTGTGATTCTGCACGGGTGCTGCTCCGTACGTTCAGATCCCCTCTGACACATAAGAACATCAGCAGATATCAAAATGTTGAGTGAAAAAGATCATTTTTACTCATTTAATCAGGAGATAAAATGTTCTTGCTGCTTTATTTATACATGCAATGCTAAGTAACTCATTAATGATGTTTCCAATAGGGATGCGTGTTGGTGGAATTATGGCGATAAGATGGTTATCATGATTAGAGCTGAGCAAGTCTGGAAAGTAATCTAGTTCCGATTTAATTCACGATTATTTTCTCAAGGGGCTTTTCACATATTTTTCAACTAACAGAAGCAAAAAAAAAAAATCTATGTAACCTGTACTGAATATAAACAAGTTTACGTATCTACAGGAGCACATCCCTTGAAGGAGCATAGGTATTAGCATCAACTGTGAAAATGTATTTGCAGGAAAGAAGTGTGTCCCGTTTATTGAAGTCTTTTGTGTTTAGAGTTTTAGACGTCTTGTCCATGCAGAGCTTCCATAGTTCAGTTACGTCCATAGCAGCTAGCCAAAACTCAGTGGAGTTGGAATCTCTTAGGGTTTTCTAGCTTTATTAAAATATCTGTCTGTACTTATTAGATTAATGGCAGTTTTTGCTTTTTATTAGACTCCAAATGTAATCATTTGGCACGTTCCTAATTCGTTATCTGTAAGAATATAATCGGCAATATTAGCATTAGCGTCCCAATGGGTTTTTCCAGGTATATTAGCATTGTGCTAACCACTCACTTCCAGTCAAATCACAGCCTTGGTGATTAGAAAATTATCGCATTTTATCTGCATATGCAATTAATCGTTCCGCCTTATTCACGATACAAGGGAGACGATACAATGACACGATATATTGCGATACATTCAGTCAGACGAAATGAGCGTTTTTTTAGACTGATTTTTATTGTAGGAAAATTCAATAAACAGTCCAAACTGATACATAACATGTTTAACACGAGGTATCTGAACCATAACAGAGGGATTTACATTTCAGTGGTGGAAACAAAACCCATTGCACACTGCTGCCAGCTAGTGGTCGGTGTTTGAATTGCACCAAAAGAAAAGAAAATACACAAATGTTAGCATGTAAATTGTTCCAAAATTTAGATACACGGCTTTTGAATATCGATATAATATCACAGGAAAAAAATCACGATAAATTGCCATATCGATATTTTCTTACATCCCTAGTTTCCTAACTACATACCAGACATGGAAAAATGGAAAGTTTCTCGTAGATGGAGCTTAGTTTGGCATAAAAACTTTGCACAACATTAAATTTCTCCACATTTCTGCAGGAGCCAATGACAAAGGTACTCTACACAGGCCAGGCTGCAGCCTTGGCCCTTTAAGGGGCTGCGTCATGACTCTTCTTATGTTCTAAGATTCAGTTCTTACGCAGATACGTGGACAGTTTCCTCTAAGATTCACCAATAAAATCTGGAGCTGGAATCAGGAGTGAGTCAAAACTCTCTGGGCTGCAGGTTTTCACCCAAACAAACTTTTGTATTTAAATCAAAACATTTTGAGTCTTATTTTGGCCAATAGAGAGCTTTCTCTTGTCGCTAAGAGCCCTGTAATCTTTAGGATTTGTGGTTCTTCTGTCCGTGTCTTGGTGTGGGTGCAGCTCCCGATGGACCGTATCTGAGTCATGGTTATTAACTTGTTTTATTTATTAAGTCCAGACATCATGTCTCTGAAGGATGGTGTCTTATAGACGTTACACGCGTTTTGTTGGCAGGCGGATTTCCTGGATCACGACTTCAGGCCCACCAACATGAAGGGATTTCTGATGTCTCAGCAGAAAAGTGGAAAAATCCACTCAGCTGTCACAGTGGAGCAGGTAGTCCTGATTTGGTTCCTCGTGTAAAATAAAATCAAGCTGTTTTATTTCCTCACGCTTTTCTCTTTCACAGCATTTCTGTTCAGATTATCGCGGCGTAGAGACGCTACAGTTCTTCACCCAGATGGTAACGGGCAGCGTGGTTCAGTACAGGAAGAAGTGAGCTCCGTGTTTAGTTCAGCTGAACGATCCTAGTGTTTAAAAGCTCATCTGTGTGCTTCTGCCTTTGCTAATTTTGCAGGTTCTACCGCCGGTGTCGAGGGATCCCTCAGGGATCCATCATGTCCAGCCTGCTCTGCTGTTTGTGCTACGGCCACATGGAGAGGGTTCTGTTCAAAACCATGTCGGCAACAAAAGGGTACCAAAAAAACTATTCCTGATGGCTGCAGAGCAGGGCGGTGGATGCTTATCATAGACACTCGTCTCTTTTGTTTCCTGTCTGTAGATGTTTGATGAGGCTGGTGGATGACTTCCTCCTTATCACGCCGGACCAACGCCAAGCGCACACATTCCTCAAGTACAGCGCCTCGATCATATTTAAGACGCAGCAATTTGGTAATGAATCATTTATTTGTAGAACTTTAACTTGTGCAGGACCTTGTTGGCTGGAGTGCCGCAGTATGGTCTGGTGGTCAACCCGCAGAAGGTGGTGGTGAACTTTCCGTTACCAGAACGTCCATGGTCTGGGTTTGATGTGCACGTGCTGCCCTCTCACTGCCTCTTCCCCTGGTGCGGCCTGCTGCTGGACACACAGTCACTGGACGTCTGTAAAGATTACTCGAGGTGAAACCTCTCGTCACCTGGAGTCATAAAGTAGATCCACTATCGTGTGTGTTTTTGCATGAGAGGTTATTGGACTGTTTGCCTATTTTAATGGTGTCTTGTAAACAGACTCTGCACTTTGCACCTACTCATAAACAACTCCCAGTTTAGCATAACACATTCATTTTCTACCTCCTGTACACCCAAACATACGTTCACGTGTGATTTTACCTTCAGATTTCCGTTTCTCACAGATACTCGGGGCTGTCTCTGCGCTACTGCATGACTTTGGGTTCTTTCCACTCCGCTGGACTGCAGATGAGAACGAAGCTGATGTCCATCCTCAGACTCAAAAGCCACACCCTCTTCTTGGACCTCAAGGTTAAGACCGAAACATCATTTTCTGCCTTAAACAGAACCAACAGGAAAGTGCAGATGGTGAATAAAACATGCTAGAATGCTAACGTGGCGCTTTATTTCGTCATGAATGAACAAACAATCCTCATGACCAACAGACCTCAGGTCAGTCTTCAGGAGGATGAGCTTAGCTTTAATGGGTGAGGTGTGTCTTCAGCTGACTCGATGAAGGATGTAGTTTTAATGTTTTCAGACTCCTGCAGCTTATTATTAATCAAACATGTGAATTTATGTAAGTCAAAGGTTAACAGGTTCATCTCACCTGTGATGGATGGCTCTTCAACAACAGAGTGAGGTTCGGACCCAAGTGGATTAATGTTGATGTCTAAAAATGCAATTTAATCGTGTCACCACGGTGGTAAATTATGGACTTAGTTTTATTGAAGTTGACCCTACTCCCCAGTGTGCTTCAAGTGTTTACACAAGTTTAACTCAAAGGGATGGTTACCATGACAACAAAACGTCATAATTGTCCTGCAGACACTGCAGAAGTTGGAAACATCTTTGGGCGACGGTGGCACAGGAGTTAAGTGCTCGCCCCGTAATCTGAAGGTTGCAGGTTCGAGCCCCGCTCAGTCTGTCGCTGTCGTTGTGTCCTTGGGCAAGACACTTAACCCACGTTGCCTGCTGGTGGTGGTCGGAGGGAACGGTGGCGCCAGTGCTCGGCAGCCTCGCCTCTGTCAGTGCGCCCCAGGGCAGCTGTGGCTACATCGTAGCTCATCCCCACCAGGGTGTGAATGTGTGTGTGAATGGATGAATGACTGGTTGTGTTGTAAAGCGCCTTGGGGGGTTCCATGACTCTAGAACAGGCTTAAAAAGTCTAGATTTCCGTTTCCAATTTGCTTTTCCAAATTTAAGGCCTTAAAAATCCTTAAAAATGACAAATAATCCTTAAATAGTTTCCAAAGGTCTTAAATTACCAAAGACCCAGTAAACAAGATTCTTTTATTTCTATGAAATCTTTGTGAATTTCTAGTTCAGCATTTTTTGTGTATGATATTGGCATAAGCGGAACCGTACACATTCGGTTGGTTGTGAAAGGGGCTTTTTTAGATGAGCATGCTAGTGGAAGTTTGCTCCATGGGGAAGTGCAACATTAATGGTAACTGGATGGCTAATCCCACGTTCACGACGTGGTTAGCACCGGTTCCAGGCAATAGCTGGAAATTATAGCTTAAAGGGGCATTATGGAAGTTTGACAGCCAAAACATGTATAGAAATAATAAATGTCTTCTGCAAACATTCTCCTGCAATGCCCTGGTCCTGTAGAATGAGCCCTGGCATTTTTACTGTGATTGCCTGTTTTTCTGTAAAATCACAGAAAAAGAGAGATGCTCGGGTCGAGCAGGCTGCTTCATGCGCGTTCACGCTCAGGCATAGCCCGTAGCATTTGCTATCCGTAGCTTTAGTCTTTGTCGCTGTTCCTAACGCCTAGTGACAAAGCTAGCTACATTTCTGAGGACCCTTAGCTACTTTCTTCTAGATATTTCCTGCAAATTAGCAACAAAATAGCCATTTTCGCTCCAAACCATTCTTTGAACGTTGTTTCAGCTGTTATCAAGGATATAAATGTTACAGAATACAAAGGACGTCACTGGTGCTTTTGCTCACCTAGTAAGATGTTGGACTCTGGTGCCGGAGACCCATGTTCGATTCTGTATGTCAACATAGACTTTCTTTTTTACATTTATGGTATAGTTTTTACAGTAAGATGCCAAAATATTTATTTGAGACTCGCCGAACGGCATTGAATTCACAGATAAAAAAAGATGTGGGTTCAACTTTTCACTTTGTCGGCTGTGCTGAAGAGAAAGGTACAGAACCAAATTATTTAATTAATTAGCTGCACGTTCTGTCCTCTGTCCTTCGGGCCACACACACACACACACACACACACACACACACACACACACACACACACACACACACACACACACACACACACACACACACACACACACACACACACACACACAAGGGACTGTCTCAGCTATTATTTTCGTTAAGGAGTGTGCATGTACAGCATACGCGCCTCGTGCACGAGCCTACTATTGAAGCTGCCGTTACGCTTTTGGCCTGAGGGGGCAATCGCGAGCATAAAAATTCAAAACTCTGTAAAGTCCCTTTAAATTTAATTTTTAAAAAATTGCTTACATTTGGTCAAATTGGCCTTAAAGAAGGTCTTAAAAAGTCTTAAATTTGGCTCCCTTAAACCTGCAGATACCCTGTAGAAGGCGCTATATCAAATACAGGCCATTTACCATTTCCACATTCACGCCCTTTTCCCAAGCATCCCCAGATCATGATGCTGCCACCGCCGTGCTTTACCAAGGTTGCTTTAATGCATCGTTCTAGTTACGATCCATTTGCTTTACTTTTCTTCTCAGAATAATTCCATTGAGGTGGTCTACAGGAATATCTACAGCCTGCTTCTGCTGCAGGCATACAGGTAGAAACAGCTAATTCCTGGTTCACATGTGACTCACACCGCCACATGCTTCTCTGTCTTTGACCCAGTGCTGGTCCTAGCTCCTCTGGTTTTATCACAGAATGTATATATCTGTTTTTTTTTTTTTACTTCCTCAGGTTCCATGCGTGTGCTCAGAATTTGCCATTTGGCCAGACAGTTGCGAAGAACCCAGTTTACTTCCTGCAGATGATTTGGGACATGGCTGGATTTGCCAATCGGCTCATCAGGATCAGCAACAAGGGTAACGCTTTCTCATCAGAGAGAAACACCAGATGAAAAACGTGGTTTCATGGTTGTGGCTTTTCTTCTCCAGGGCTGTGTTTGGGCAGCAAAAACCAGACGGGCATTCTGCAGCGTGAAGCGGTGGAGCTGCTGCTTTGTCTGTCCTTTCTCGTGGTTCTGTCTCAGCACCGTCCTCTCTATAGAGACCTGATGGCACGCCTCCACACATGTTTGTATACATTTTACAGACATCTAAGATGGTTGGGGGCACTCGAGTGAGATTTGAATTAGTTTCTGTCTACACCAAGATAAAAAGCTGCAGCATCACAACACATTTTGTTTGTGAAAAGTTTAGAAAATCTCACGAATGTTCTGAAGAAAACGTCGGATTTATGATTCTCCGCAGCTAGAACAATCAAATAGGATTTTTTTGTGAGGTAAAACTGGAGATTTTTGTCATCTAGACTAAAAGTGCTTTTTAGGAACCTAAAATTGTCTGGATTTTTGGATTCAGAAAAAATCTTTGTCTCATAAAGGCACACGGAACACCCAACACAAAAACTTTTAATAAATGATCGATAAATAACTCAAAACACCCAAACCTTTAAAGGTGTGGACCACTGAAAACACATTTTTATTGATTATTTCTGATTATAATGGGTCACTCTGAGTTTATCATGCAGGCTAAACATGAAAATAGTCTCCTACACCTATCTCCTGCATTAGCTTCTGATAGAAAATCGACTAAAACTCTAGGATTAGAAAATCCTGACAGATCTACGTCACACTGTCACTTTACATTCACGGACTCACCCATCTTGACTCCTGACGAGGAAGGCTGTTGTCGGTTTGGCGTCCAGGGCACCTCAGAGAATGTCTCAGCTAGTAGAAGCTAACTGTTAGCATTAGCAACTCCACCACACAGCAGAACTCCTCCAGGCTTGTGTTATTTGTGGAAATAAAAAAGCAACGCTGCAAGTCAGTGATAGACTCATGTTGCTGTTAACCAATCAGAGGAGAGATGTCCAAAGTGAGACTCTAAATCCTGCCACGTTGTGCTAATCTTTGCTGCAGGTGCTTCTGGGTTTTTTGTGCCCCAAATATGACTTGCAGGGCATTCATTTCTACCAGAGACTACTGCAAAATGTATTGATTAAACAAGTCTTCTACACCTTTAAATATTTAAATATGAAACAAAATAGATGAGAATTGGTACAATTCTAGTTTTTTATTTATATTTTTACAGCAGGTTAAACATACTTCCTGTTTGTCTGAATCTTGTTCATGATTCACAAATAACGGTTCAAGCTTGATGCTCCTGGTTAAACGTCTGAGTTGCTTTTGTTTGGTTTGGTTTTTCCCGATCAGGGGACACTTCTTTATATTCCGAGAATTTTCTCATGGCTTAACTGCATTTGCTCATTTCTTTTGCTCTTGTTAATAATCAACATATTTCTGCTTTTGTCCTCAGAGAGGAGAGAAAATCATTGATGAAGGGCCTAAAACTGAACCGTGTATTTAACCCTATAATAAACCTGACACGGAGAGCTGTGATTGTTTATCAGCCTCGTTTTAGCTCCACGTACTAGCCAGAATCATTACCGGAGATATTTTTATCATTAGGACTCGTTTTAGCTCCTTCTGCTTCTAAAATGACCACGAATTTCTACAAAGTTATAACTGAGGTGAGCTTGTATGAATGTGTAAGTTAAGAGATAAGATAAGATAAGATAAGATAAGATAAGAACAACTTTATTTATTTATCCCGAGGGAAATTGTTGTGTCATGTACATGCTCAAAGCAGTAGGAGAGACAAAGGAACAGGTGAAACAGATATAAGATATACGATATATACAGTAAAAATAGTGTACAGTAGTATACAATAGGATAGTGCAAGAGAAATACTCAGATAACTCAACAAATAAAATACATGACTGTATCCTGGTGAATAAGTAATTAAGCTATCAGTGCAGGCGATTTTTGAAAATGATAGAGCATTGTGCAATAGAATTAAGGGTAGTAGCAGCATATGATGGAGGGATGCAAACATATTTCCAATAAGAACTCTGTACATGTCCTAACCATCATTTCATCCTGCTGACAGGGAAGCGAAGCCTGGAGAGACGTTTGGGGGATCTGAGCCTGGCCCGGGTTCGACAGGCCTCCAGTCCCAAGATGCCGTCCGACTTCCTAACCATCCGATCATAGACTGCCTACCAGATCACGACTAGATAAAATAAGCTAAACGGTTTGATTAGCTACGGACACGACGCTGCCTATCAAACATTTAACCAGCTCATTACTTTCAGTCAAACTAAAACATAAAATGGATTTGTCTCACCTGTCAGGATACCAAATAAATCCGTTTCTCCCTGACATATGAGGAAACCGATAAAAACTCCTGAGTCATCGAAGATAACATTTAGGGGATAAGTCCGCGTCATAAAGACTCGCTATGAGGAAGTCAATACAGAACGAACCTGAAAACTTGCAGCTACTGTGTCACAGCAGGTTTATCGCCTCAGCTGCTGACCTTTGGTTTATCCTCACAAAGGAAACAGGAGAGATGTAGAATCAGTTATTTACATGAATCCCACAGTTATTTAGTACAGTACACATGTTGATGTTTTAATACGCCGATGCACAAGGAAAGGTTACAATTATTTGGGGTCTGTTGAGTTTCTGCTCTTTATGAAACTCTTAGTTTCCTCTGATCTTGTGCTTCGACCTCGAAGCCTTCGTTCCAGTAGGGATTCAGCTCCACTTGTGTTGATGATGTGGTTCTGGATCGGATCAGTTTGTAGAGCGCCACCAGAGGGATGGAAACCACAGGAACAACGCAGAGGAGGACGATTATAGCAAAAACCCAGTCAGGGTAAGACTTCACTTCCGTTTTAGGGAACTGATCCTGAAAAAGAAGAAAAACGTTGGATAATATTGAAATATTTTTATTTTCAGGGTAGCCTTAAGGGTATGTTGTGCTTAACCTATTCAGATTACATCTGGTTACATGTAGTTGCACAGTATTTGGTGATATTTATTTTAGTTGTACTTGAAGTAAAATTTTTCCTGTTCAAGATTAGTTGGGAGAAACAGCTGTTCAGTCGTCACGACTTCATCTCTAGATCTGTCATCAGGGATTGGTTTTGTTTCAAAAATAAAGAAATCACTGAAATGAATGAGGAGAAAATGTGTGGGTTTATGTTTAGACTTAAAACTTGTATTCCCTTAATAACCCAGATCTACTAGATCTTACCTGAGAGAAAATATAACATTCACTTTAGCAGAAAAGATCAAACCTTACCCCCTTGTTGACTGATATATGATACAAAAACAGAACTATTGTCTAATGCTAATTAAAACATGCAATAATCAGTTTTAGTTTATTGTGACTAATTAAATTGACCATTTCCACCTGCAGTTACACCACTATGGGGTAAACATGCTAACAGGATGTGACTTCGATCCACTTGTTTAGCCGCTGGCCATCTGAGGTGATTTTGATCCGTGACGCGTTTCCAATAATCCATACTGTAATGTTATATCTGTGTTATTTATTTACAATAATGGCAATCAAATGATGGTCAACAGAAAAATTACAGCAAACCACTTTAAGCCGACCCACGTTGAGCGTGCAGGTACTAGCCTAAAGGAAAGGAACAAAAGCTGTGACCACACTCACTTCCATCATCTCATGTGATTCTTACTTCCTGATATTTGGACATCTTGCCCCAGGGTGGTTGACTGCAATGCAACTCTACCACTGACTTGCAACATGGGTGTTTTATAATAACACAAGCCTGTAGGGCGTCTGCTGTGTAGTGAAGTTGCTAATGCTAACGGTTAGCTTAAACTAGCCAAGATGTCCACTGCTCATTATCAGATGTTAAACCAACAACATCCCCGTCATGAGTCCAGATCGATGATTCCATAAATGTTAAGAAACAGTGCGATGTAGATCTGTCAGGATTTTCTAATCCTAGAGTTTCACCGTCTATTTTCTAGCTAATGCAGGAGATAGGTGTAGGAGACTATTTTCATGTTCAGCCTGCATGAAAAACTCAGTGACCAATTATAGTCAGAAATAAGATTTAAAAACTGTTAAATCAGTCAACCACATCTTTAATTTTATTTAAGTAAATATTTAATTATCTGGGGAAAGAAAATCCTTTGAGATTAGAAAATCTCTTACAAGGATGTCTTGAAATGAAATAAAAATCACATGAACTTGATAATTTTGGCCTACATGTTGAACAGTTTGGACGCCTCTGCTTTATGGTTTTATGCTAGTTTGCAACAGTAGTCTGCAAATTGGAACTTTTCATTAGTGATGCATCGATGTGACATTTTTGAGCCGATACTGATATTAACATCACTGTAGTGGCTGATAACCGATATTTGCCGATACCGATATACTGACATCAATGCTTCTAAAATCAGCAGAGTTTGTAAAGCTGAATTTATGTTATTATGTACACACACCACACACATTTACCTTTCTGAGATGATTACAATCACTGTCACATGACTAAACAAATACACATCACCCCCCTCACCCTCTGAAACAGATGAAATGGAAACTAAATGGAAAAAATATCGGTTGTTAATATCGGCATAATGCTTAAAGTCTTTTTTTCTATTAGATGTATGGAAATTCAAAAACCAGAATGTATTTTAGTGGCTTAAAATATTAGAAAGCTTGAATGCCTGGGAGGTGGAATATGGGCAGATAAAGTTTGTTCCACAAACGTACAGAGGAAATAAAGACCGGAGGTCAGTTTTTATCATCCCTTGTAAAAATGACAGAATGTCAAACCAACACATGACTTGTGTTGGTTTTGTCACATTGGGTTGGAGTGTGTGTGTGTGTGTTTAGTTGCTCACGTAGTCTGGGTTCCATGTATGATAGGTGGGGTATGTTTGTGCCTGGACGACCACATAAGCAACTAATACCACCAGCAGCATGAGTGGACTGATCACCATCCAGCACGCCTTCCAGAAGATATTTGGCCTCCTCCCAGTCATGAAATAAATGTCTTCACTGAAACTGTCGAAGGAGGAGAAAGAGGGAAAGCCTGGTTTTAAAATTCCACGAGCTTCAAAGGGTCACGGAGAACTAAATATGAGGAATAAAGTTACTTTTTCATTCCATGGACATAAATGACTCCAATAATCTCAAAGAATGCGATGATGAGCAGAGGTACGGAGCCCACGTAGCTGTTAAAGACCTCCACCCAGTAGTTGCCTGAACCCTGGGCGAAGATGAGGGCCAACAAGAAACATATTGAGCAAATGATTCCTAAAGATGAAAAAGAAATCAGAAGTGGTTCTTGTTTTATTTTTTTATTATTTTAACCAAGGATGAAGCTTAATTACTGGTACCTGTCACAAGTTCATTGGGAATCCACTTGGGGATCAGTTTGAGGTCACTGATGGGGGTGAGGATGCCTTCGATGTTGCCAAACATGGAGGAGAGACCCAAGCTAAAGAGCATGACGAAAAACAGTATGGCCCATATCTGAGATCCAGGCATTTCTAAGACCGCTTCAGTGAAGACTATAAAAGCCAGACCAGTTCCTGAAGCACTCTTAGAGAAGGACATCAAAAAGAAACGATACTGTCACTATATGGAAAGAGACTCCGACCAAAATAATGTAGCTAGTCGACGTGTTTAAAGTCCAACCTGGTCTAGAAAGGTTTTCAGAACACAATCCCTCAGGGACAAATTGGAAACAACATCTGGATTTATGTGACTCAGAAATTGAAACCAGTGGTCGTAGTTCTCCAATGTGATGTTCTGGTCTGAAAACTCAAAGTGGTTCGTCAGCGTCAAGATGTTCCTGCAGAGATGTCATCAATTCTACTTTCAGATTTTACAGAAACCAACATCTGTATGCAAAGAAACGGAGATGCTTGCGTACTCTTGTCGACAAGCGTTAAATCCATTAGTGGCTTTAAATCCCAGTATGGAAAAAATGGGAATGGATGCGTAGAGAGACGTGGCGCTGTTTATTACTCCTACTAGAACGGCATCCCTCTCACAGTCATTTCTGTTAAACACAAGAGGATAACAGATGGAGCTTCGTGAACACCTTACCTTTCCCAGGTGAGTCAGGTCTTACCTCTCTGCGTTGTAGCTGGAGAACGCTATGAGACCTCCAAACGCCACCGATAGAGAAAAGAAGATCTGGGTGGCAGCATCCAGCCACACCTGTGGGTTCTTCAGTATTTCCCACTGCAGGGAGGAGACTGACACTTTCAGTGACATAATTCAACCTTAGAGTACATTTAATAACAAGAACTCACATCAGGAGTGAAGAGGTAGGTTAACCCATCAGTAGCTCCAGGCAGAGTGAGGGCCTGAACCAGGAAAATGGTCAGCACCAGGTATGGAAATGTGGCTGTTACATAAACCGCCTGAAACGAGAAATCAAGAGATGTCAGCATGATGTTGTCAAATAAAGGAGGAGGAGATTTGGAAATTTGAACAGCTATAGCTCCCACCCCTTCTCCCCTTCCACTTCTGCAGGAAGCTGAAAGTCACGCCTCATTCTTCACACTCAAACATATACACACAAGATGCCTTTTTCCACTGCTCCAATATACCTGATTTTAACTGCTGAATGATCTTAGCCTTCATCGGGTTCTCCAGGAGCTGCTAATCAGTGGCGGTGCCAGGGGGGTACTATAGCCACCCCTGGATTAGTCATAGCACCCCCAAGTAAATATTAGACTTTTTTTTAACAATTTAATTTTAATTTAATGTGTGGATGTGATAATATCTAACATACTAAACAAAAATAATCAGTAAATTATCATATAGATAGTAAAAACTTAAACCAAAACAGGAAATTGATGTTAACCTTTTACCTCATTTTCCACCTGTGAACGAGTGAAAGGTAGAGCTAGTGGTAAAATTGATCGTTTTTTGTTGCCCAGATTGTGTTCAGTCAGAAACGAATGAATCTTTAAAAGTGATCTCAGACCCACAAAAACCTACAGCTCTGGATGAAGAGTCAACCCTCAACCGCCACAGCAGTCGAGGGTTTTGCCGCTGGAAATACTAACACTAACGTTAGCTAACCTTGCAACACTATAGATGGTTTTCTGTGTGGCTGTATGTGTTTATGATTTCATGGAAAAGTCAGCAATTGTTCATATGTTTATGGTGTATATTAATGATTGTTTCAGGTGTTGAGGTTTTGTGCACGCATGTGTATTTGCTAGTGTTGAAGGTGTTTTGGAGAACAATAGGTACGCAAGACCACTTCTTTCATAGCACCCTCTCCTTCATAGCACCTGCAGAAAAAAATTTCTGGAGCCGCCACTGCTACTAATCACTCGTTTTTATCAAATCTGTAGCATTCAAGCAGGGAAACGACTAAAAACAGCACTAACTAGCATTGCTAACTCCACTAAAGGCTAAAACAATACTGTGACGTAGCACAAGGTTGAACGCTAAAGTCATCACTTTGCTCCAACGCAAAAGTTTTTCGTCCCCCCCCCCTACTCTTCCACAGTTAGCTTAAAGTTTACAGACTGACATTAATTTAATGTATGTCAGGTTAGCATCTAAGCTAGGTTGTTGTGCTAAGCTGACCCTGCAGTGAGTGCTAGGAACTGGGGCTCATTCTCTTTGATTGACAGCTCCTACTTAAGGATCCGCAAATCTATTGGTCAACGCTCTAGGCTTGCTTAAATGATTTGTTTTGCTGTAGAGGCCAGGTAAGGGACTTAGGGGAAATAAAAATGATGAAAGAATGCCTACTTTATAACACAGAACAGGGTCAGATAGTCACATTTAAAGAGACAATGTGTAGTTGACATTTAAACTTGAAATTTGCCCCTGAAGTAGCTGCCGGCTTCTGATCCGCCATCCGTTCGAAAATATTGTATTCCTGGAAATGTTTGACCAAGGCTAGGCGACACTCCTCGTGTATCCTTGCTCAGCTAGCTAAACAGGTAACAAATGGAGGACAGATGCCTCGGTAGAACATGAACATTGGAACACGCCTTGACGGTTCCTGATGACATATCTCCTAGGCAACCAGGGCGAGACCAAGACATCCAGGCGAGGTTCTTTGGCATTGAGAACCACCCTAAGTATCTGGGTGATGCCATATTAGATGCCATGTTTCCTACCACAGGAGCCCGTGAGGACAAAATGCATTTACTGATTTGTAACAAACTGTTACAAAACTTTCGCCATTCTTAAAAGCCCAATGCAGGGAGGGAGTCTGATGTGCTTGTTTGCACTCCCCCAAGGCTTTTTGACCCTGATGGGTATCCATTGGTAAGGTCTTACTCCAACACAAAAATACTGCTTGCTTGCAATGATTTAGGTATCTACTGCCCTCTATCGCCAAGAAAAGCACACAATGTCACTTAGAAAATTGTTGAACTATGTACCCCAGGAACATTTTAATAGGTTTTTTAATTCAGGACCTCACCTTTCCCATGGACGCGATGCCTCTGATGAAGCAGATGAAGACCACACTCCAGGCAGTGGCCAGACAGACGACCATCCACCACTGCAGACAACCACTGGCCTCGATGTCAGGTGTGATGTTCAGGGTCTCACGGTACCAGAAATAATTCACCGGAGTGCTCTTCTCACACTCTCTATCGTATCCTGTGAGTACAATCATGCATAAAGGCTAAATTATTATACCATCAGTGTTTCTGTTAAATATCCCCAGATTCAGTTTTTGTATAGTATATTATCTGTACTCCAAAAGTAGGAAGCTGCCCCTGGAAGACAAGCCGAGGCTTCTGTCTGTTACTTATTAAGCCACATGTCATAGAAACTCATCCGAATTGAAAAACAAGTACTTGTATATTGTGGCCATGTAGCAATCCAGCTGCTTACATATTAAATCCGACCTGAAGCTTCAGCCAGGGTTTGATGATTGATGACATTATGCCTGAGGCATCTTTGTGTAATAATCCGAGTTTGTCATAAATGAGAGTGTTTCTCCTCACCAGTCTGGTTTTCATTGACAGGACAAGTGCTCCATGGCAGCGGGTTCTGGAAGGAGTGAAAGAAGTACCAAAGCACCCAGGCCAGGATGGTGTTGTAGAACATGCCCACCAGGAACGATACCAGCATGGAGCTAATGCCTGGACGCGGGAAAATAACCGAAAGTACCTCAGTCAGTTACATTCAAATAAAAATGTTCCTGTTAAATAGATTTTATCTTCATTTAAATCCAGTATCTCAACCAGGTATTTATTAAGTAGTTCTGGAATGACTTCAGGAAACCCACCGACTCCACCCAGCAGAGGAGAGATGGAGTTCCAGACTCCGATGCTGCCCATACGGAGCCTCTGTCCAATAGCCAGTTCCAGGTAGAGCAGCGGCAGGCCCTCAAAAACCAGCGCTATCAGGTAGGGGATCAGGAAAGCTCCTGAGAACAGTAAAGCAACGTTGGAATGACTGTAATCACCAAGATTCATACAGTAAGAATGCTTTTATTATCATCCTAACAATAGATATTCAGAGATGCACCTGGGAGAATATACTTTTATCAAATTTAACGTAATAACACAGATTTAGATTGCGATAACTCGAGGTAAACGTGACCAGCTGGTGGCTTGGAGGGAGCCTGCATCACTTCCTTTGTGGTTCTGAATCTGTAAGTCAATATGTGAGGCTGATAGAGCCTTTTCAGAAAACACCCATTCACGTAAGTCCACCCTGACCGAGGCTCTTTGGGCTTCTGCGGCTGCAGGGCTCAACACTGGGAACAATGAGGAAGTAAAAACAGGAATCACCCAGAATTTTCCCCACTGGATTAAAGCTCTTTAATTATTGTGTTGCTGCTTCTGTGAGCTGACGAAATATCAAGACGTGATGTAATATTTAAATGTGTAACAGACAAGAATCTCACCTCCTCCGTAGATCTGGCAAAGGTAGGGAAACCGCCACACGTTCCCAAGTCCTACTGCGAATCCGATGCACGTTAGTAGGTACTGAAACTTGTTGTCCCATTTGGGTCTCTCCTCCACTCCAGACTCTTTAGTTTCCCCCATATTCAGCTGATGAAAGATGCAAGTCTAAGTCAGATGGCAATCAGTCAGTTGGTTATTGAATGTTATCTAAAGTTTTCCGTCTTCATTGTCTCCCTGCAGAATGTCACTCCTGTGGTGTGGTCAGCGTGATGTTGGGTGCTCGTCCTCCTGACTCCAATAACTGGCTGCAGCTTTGAGTCAGAAGCACAGATTTTATTTATGCAGTCACCAAGAGGGAGAGGGAGCACCTGGTGCTGTGTTTGAGTGGTTACACCTCCCACCGTTTTTGAAATGGGAGTGTTCCAGCCTAAATTAATGGATAACCTGGTGATGCTGTGTTACACTGACCTACAGGAAGCTGAGCACACACTGTCTGTAAAGGGACACCCCACAACCACAACCTGTCCTTTAGTTACACACTGCAGAGGAAACTCCAATATTGGTTTTTATTTAAAGAGGAAGTTGACAGCACGTTATTTATTTCGTGTTTAATCTTTGTAGGTAGCCATCTGTACAGGACAAGCTGTCATGCGTTCGATGTTCTCGGTGTACGGAGCAGATCTGAGATCAGTTTGTGCAATTAGACAGGTGTGCTTTTTGCAGATGCAGCATGTTTTCATCCAAAAGGGAGGAAAATTATGTGGTGGGTTGATTTTACCAGGAAGCTTCAAACAAATTCAACACAGAGGACACCATTTAATCAACTCTGGATGACTTCAAAAGATGCTGATAAAGCATGAGACAGAAATGGTTCCAATATCAATCAAAGCTTTATTTATATACAGGGCATTCCAAAACCCTTTTCGGGGGCCCAACGCACTAGAAAACATTGTAAAAAGACATAGTCATAAAAAAAGAAGTTAAAACATAGAACATAAAACGTAGAGCATAAGGCAAAGGGATGCAACTATGAATAAAAGCGCCCTAACAAGGAATAAAACAGGAATTAAAAACAAGAACTAAAAATAACATAAAAGCAAGCCGACTTCAAACATGTTCTGGAAACGCTAATCAGAAAAAAAAAACGAGTTAAACAGAAAAACAAGTGTATGTTTGTTTTGCTCTTTTGGATCACATTAGAAGCAAGGTGGGACATTTTTCTTTATCAGAACTCTTAACATTTGTAGATGTCTGCTTCCTCAAACTAATAAACCAAACTTTTAAGACATGACTTATAATAGTTCTGTAGTCTAGAAAAGCATGTTCATAAAGCTCTTTGCACTAAATGATTTTAGCAGTTTTGTTCTTGGATGTATCAAACAGGTCAAAGGTGGCCGCGCCAAAAAACCCTCGACCCGTAAAAAAGAACCAAAAATGGAATTAGAAGACAAACACAGCAAGAACGTACAAAAGAACCGTGAAGGACTTCTTGACAAAAACAGCACTTCCAGATGAGGGTGGAAGGGTTCTATGAGGAAACGTGTCAACGCAGCATCCTCTGCAGATAAACATCCAGGAAATTAAGAAGTAAGGGTTAAAAATAAACAAAAAAGTTACATTAAAAAAAAGCTTTTAGTGGCTCCTTACCCAGGATTCTCAAGAACATAGCCATCTGAAGAATTAGTAACATGAAGGCTGCACTGGCGATGTGTTGAGAATTTACTCATGAGACCACCAACTAGTAATGCTGTTTCTAAGAGTTCAACTCCAGCAGTCAAATCAAATCAAATCACTTTTATTGTCACGTCACATGTGCAGGTACACTGGTACAGTACATGCGAGTGAAATTCTTGTGTGCGAGTTTCACAGCAACAGTTGTGCAAAATACAATAACGTAAAAACAAGCAAAATATAAAAATGTCTAATCTAAGTAATAATATATATAGTATTTAAGGTACATACATTACTAAATGTGTGTGCTAGTATTTTATTTTTTATTTTTCTACGTGTGTGCATGTGAGTGTGTGTATAGTGTGTATATACATATTTAACAAATGAATAAAGTAAACAATAAGATAAGAGATATAAAACGTACAGAGGCTGGTATGTGCAAAACAGTGGCATTAATGTACAGTATGGAGCGTGTAATGTTGGAGTTTCTGTAGTGAGGGTGAGGTGTCTGCGCAGTGTTCAGCAGTCTGATGGCCTGATGGAAAAAGCTGTCTCTCAGTCTGCTGGTTCTGGACCGGATGCTGCAGAACCTCCTTCCTGATGGAAGTAGTCTGAACAGTTTATGGCTGGGGTGACTTGAGTCCTTGATGATCCTCCCCGCTTTCCTCGAGCACCGCTTCCTGTAGATGTCCTGGAGGGAGGGAAGCTCACCTCCAATAATCCTTTCTGCACACCGCACTACTCTCTGGAGAGCTTTGCGGTTTTAATCGGTGCTGTTGCCATACCAGGCGGAGATGCATCCAGTGAGGATGCTCTCAATGGCACAGCGACAGAAGGTCCTGAGGATGCGGTGGCTCATGCCAAATCTTTTCAGTCTCCTGAGAAAGAAGAGGCGCTGCTGTGCCTTCTTCACTGTATTGTTCGTGTGCACTGGCCACGTAAGATCCTCAGTCAGATGAACTCCAAGGAAACGGAAGCTGCTCACCCTCTCCACAGCGTAGAGTCAACACGTCCAAAGCGTCCATTTCTGCTCAGACACGAAGAACAGTGATTTATGCAGAAATACGAGTCAGTCATGCTGATCAGCAGATAATTAACTTTCCCTGCATTGCATTTTATTACCTCCTTGTCATTTTATATAAAACAACAAAAACACTTAAAAAAAACCAATTTGATGATCACTAAAGGCAGTTTCCTACCAAATCATAACCCTTTCTGCAGAATCTGGACTTGCTCCTTCCTGTGTTCCTACTAGGGGTTGCATGACTTAATTTATTTTTAAGTCGACCGTCAAGTAATGAAAATGAAAATCGACTAGGTGATGATGACATCACACACCTGAGGCGCACGGGGGGTGGGGGTCACTGGAGTTTTTGACAATTAAAATTGCGCCCACATTTTGTAAGTTAAACATCTCTTTTAACAACGGTAGTTTCTGCATCTTGCTTCAGCCCTCTCCCCCCTCCCCCGCGCAGCGACCGCAAACTCACTGATGCGCCTGCAGCCTCTCAGAGTTGCTGCTGCATTTGTTTTTGAGGTGGCGACACCTAATTTGATAATGTTACTGTGGCCGTGCTCAGGACCACTGAAAACACATGGTTAAGGTTAGGATGGGGGTGAGGGGAAGGTTAAATTGCAAGAGGGTAAAGGTCACAATTCGGTCAAATGTCCGTTTTACGGTGGGCGTATACATACCGACGCTCTGGCACAGCGCGTCGCCTCCCAACGCGCAGGGGCTCATCATGTGCTGTCTTTTCCAAGGACTGCATCTGTTCGGTCATTATCTCGTGACAGCGACTAGTCGATGAAAGGCATAAAATGTCACTACAGAGCAGTGAAGTCGACTAGTTGATACAACCCCTAGTTCCTACCTACTGCTAATTGTCCCCAGCACTATACATTTAGGTTTTACCAAAAATTAAATCAATGTTAAAAATGTTACGTGTCAAACGAGGCCTCTTTGTTTTTTATGCTCCGTCACGTCATCCTGCCCACTAAATCAGTGCAGGACTGTTGTGGCCTGCTGAGGCTCCTGTGGAGCATAGCTAGACCAACCTGCAAAGAAAAATCATTTGCTTTTACTGTGGTCAGTCTAGATATGTCTAGGGTGGAGGATCAGCATGTGGATGTAAATGTTGCACACACACAAAAAGAAACTCAAATTGTACACAAAAAAATATATATTCTTTTTAGTTCTGAAAGTCAAACGGGAAAGACAAACACGTCTGTTATTGCAGTCGGTCCCTTTGTGCTGAACAGCACATTTCACTGCCTCTACTCTCACACAGAACACATATTTATATTAACGCTAATCGATGCCACACATGCAAATTGTTAAATACGCACACACAAATCGCCTGATGCAAAAAGGACAACACTGCTTTTACACAGAGCTGTTTACAGTTACACTGATGGCTTTGAATAAGGATGAGCGAGTACACCACTATCTGTATCTGTAGCTGTTCAACCACCTAAATTGTCTGTATCTGTAGCTGCACTCGGAGTGGGCGTGGCATAACCCGGAAGTGGGTGTGGTTTACATCATTACATTATTTTAAATCTGAAATTGATATGGATTGATCAGAAGTTGCTATGTGTATTGTTTATTTGAAAACTATTTACAGAGCAGCCTCAGAGTTGACATTAAATATTTTTATCACAATACTAAAGGAACTATTACAGAACAAGTTTTTCAGTAAAATCAGAACATTAATATTTAAGTGCATGAATTAATGCATCTGAACTCATGCAGTAGGAACTAGGAAATATGAAATACTAGAACCAGACGCAACTTTATGTATTCTTTATTTTAATTTGATTAAACTGATTTTTTCTTAACGTTCTTGGCATTTTTCCCACACAAAGTTAAACAAAACAATGTTGATTAAGGTGTGTGTGTGTGTGAGAAAGAGATAGAGAGAGAGAGAGGGTGAAAGAGAGAGAGAGCAAGAGTTAAAAAAAATTACAAAAACCCTACCGCAGCGGAGGCAGTGACCGACGCCGAACGTCAGCTCTGTCTTGTCAAATGCACCACTTACGTTAAGAAAAAAGTAACTTTAGATATTCAACCGAAAAAGAGGCAAGCTGGAGAATTCCTAAGGAGTACTGAAGAAACGTGAGGCAGTGAAGCAAGCACTGAGAGATCCGTTACTGTGAGTGTGTGTGTGTGTGTGTGTGTGTGTGTGTGTGCGTGCGTGGATGCATGGGACGGACTGAGCTCCCGGCTGCACAGCTTTGTGTGTAGAGAGGGGCGGGCGCTATATGTGACTGGCCAATCACAGAGCGAGAAGACAGTCAGTTACCCAATGAGGAGTTTCCTTCAGCACGATTACAGATATTTACGAGTTTTTATCGTTTCATGCTCGTTTTTGTCAAAAATGCTTTATTCGTACGAGTATCGCGGTTCATCCCTAGTTTTGAAGCTCTTTGTACCATGTATGCTCAGATGTGGGCGTACAGTTAAATGCTTAATGAAAGCTGAGGAATCCGATTGTTTTATTGGGAATCCTTATAAATGTTTTTATATATTAAAAAAAAAAAACACTAAACGGTGGGGAGGTTCTTTGGCTGGGGAAAGCAGGAAAGTCAACCCAGGAGAAGACAACAATCCTGGTGGTTTACCCCCTGAAGTAAGTATGAGTTACCTGTACTTTGCTATCCAATCATTATGAGACAGCCAGTAGT